CCATCCATTCCTTGCTCAGAGTTCACTGAAAATGTTCTGGAATCACTTCTAAGCTAAAACTCCTGGCAAGGAATTTTTAGGTTAAGTTAGGAGCTCTCTGAGAGGATTCTCAGAATCTTTAGGGATACGGGCCCTGGTGTTTTAAGACTTGCTACTGATTTGAAAGAACGATGCTGTCGAACATCTGGCTGAGCATCTGTTGCATGTTTCAAGCAGTGCACAGTAATATGCAATTTTCCATCAGTATAAACCTGTTATGGTTACAGTATCAACAAACATGGACGTCCAGTATCGTGCAAAAGTCTTGAGCCATTTCCATTTTCCTGTTTTGCTAGGAAAATGTGAAAAAGGGTCAGACATGTGAAATGCATTAACTTAATAGTATACAGTGCACTACAGTATACAGTGCACTACAGTATACAGTGGGGAAAATAATAACTTGATCAAGTGTGCCAAGCTTCTGCAGGCAGGTTCCACAGCCACAAACATTTGACCGAAGGATGCAAAGAAGCTGTGAAAGTGATATCGATAATGGAATAAGAATAAGCAAGTCTTATCCCCAGAGAGAATGTTTCATTATTAAGGGACATAAAACCGTTTCTTCTGTCTCCTCAGAGCTCTTGGTGGATATAACGCACACGGGACGGATCCCGCCGAATGTTGTCGTCCATCTTTACACAAAGAATCTATAAGTTTCATGAAGGCAGTGATGGATGAGTGCACACACATGGCCAACTTCTCTGGTGAGTGCTGCAGTGAATGATTACACCTCTGCTTAAAGAAGAACAAGCGAAGAATCACAACACTGAATTAACCCTGTGGTCAGAGTTGCTCCCGGACATGAAGAACAGTAACTGGATAATACAACATATTACAAAGTTACAAAATATATGTACAAGTATATTCTACACATGCCAGCATGTAACACAAATGTATACGGTTGTTGTCAGCAGCACATCACAGCCGTCAGAAATGGTTTTGACCAATAAGGTTGCAGGTGGTGTCGTTACAGTTGGCGGTGATACTAAAGAGCTGATGCTGTGATAAAAGCGTTGGCTGCTGACGTTTGATGAATTGAAGGTCGTGATGGTCATACTGGTTTGTTTGTTGCCATTAAAGTGTGGATACTGGAGCATGGCACAATGAGTGAGACTACTGACGCCAAAGATGGACAATGACACCACGAAGCCGTTGGCTTGTAAAATTGAAAGCGTATAGAAGGAATATCAGCCAAGTGTGGAAAGAATTAAGAGACTCGCAACAAGCTCATGAAAAACGACGTTCTCCTCCGATCAGAGAAACTCAGCACCGTCTTTGTTTAATCTGCTTTTACACAGGAAGTGTCAGTTTTCTGCTCGTTGCTAAAGTAGAGACTTGTCCCACCTGTGTCCTCGCTCCTTGGGCCGTATGTAGACGGTTCATTACGAGCTCTTTTGTCTCTGTTACTTGAACAGTACACAGCGTGATTATTTTTACTTTTAATATTGTGTTCAAAGGATTTATTGAATGTTTGATACTGATGCACCATCAAAAGGCACAGAAGATCAGTTCTGCTGCTGAATGAACGACACAGGGATTGTAAGCATTCTCCAGGATTGTCATTGTGAAGCGAGAACACTGTGAGGGAAATAGGATGAGCTTCGTCCTGGCTTATACAAGAAGGTGTGAGGTGAGAGGAGGCACAGGTCACTGCAGAGGACCCAGCTGATCTTCAGTCATGTTTAACAGCTCACTGTTCCTGCGGTGTCTACCACCCTCTTCTGGCAGAAAAGATTTGCATGTGTTTTGCACAAAAGTGAAAGAATGTTGTGTAGATGTCCCTGTGTTTCCCTCTCTGCTGCAGTTCCTGTAGATACCAGTCTCATCGTTGTCGTCCAGGCCAAAGAGGATGCATATGTGCCCCGAACAGGAGTCCTGAGTCTGCAGGAGATCTGGCCAGGCTGTGAAGTCAGATATCTGAGAGGAGGACACATCAGTGCATACCTATTTAAACAGAATATATTCAGGTAAACTTATAGTGTTGAAAATGATCCAAAAGGTGTTTTTTAAGTTTCTCATTTATGCCTAATTAAACTACGCTCACACAAAAACATGCTAAATCTGAGAATACACACAATCCATATTTATCTGCTCTATGCTACAAGCTCTAGTTTTGAAACGTTGCTGTTTTATAGCAGAAAGTTGACATTAGTAACAATGCGATGAGCGTCCTTCATTATGGATATGAATTTAGACTAGATGTCAATGCCTGAATGATGTCTCCACTGTACCAAATATGACGTCAAATTCAAAGAAAAGTCTAGAAATTGTTCAGAGGAGCCAAAGTTGTTTGTAGAAGTGTCACAGCTGCACTTCCTGGTTCAGGCGTGGTACACATGGACAGATAACTCTGGCTGTGGACGGTTTATCGTCTCTGAGAATGTTCGTTAAACTGTGGCTGTTGTCTGGTTCATCTGATGTTGGAGTTGGGCCACCCTCACAGTATTTCACACATTTCATCATTTTGATGTATATGATTTGTTTGTCATGGACAGCTTTGCTATGTTAACGTTACCTGTTTCATTTCCAGACAGGCCATATATGATGCCTTTGACAGATTCTGCGTGAAGTATCCCAACCTGCACTAGCCACTGGAGCCAGGCTGGACGTTTGCCTTCACCACTCTGTGTGGCAGCTGAGATCTTTCCTTGTGAGGCACGTGTGGCATTTACAGGGTAGCCTCAGAGAAGGTGGAGCTGAGCACGCCTCTTCCTGTTTGTATAAGGCTGTGTGATCTAGGTGTGCGACAAACCTCACCGTGCATAACTGAACTGTAGCAGTCTAAAATGTTGTTATGTGCTGTGAAAGAAACATCCGGGTGTCTAGCTTCAGTTTGATAACTGCTGGTGATCATTAATAGCACTGTGTGCAGTTTTTATTGCTCCTGTATCACCAGGCTGCAGGTGTCCTGCTGTTTTCCACTTCTCTTCCTTATCTGACACAACCTTGGATGTGATGCTCGAGCCCGAGCCATTCCATATGAAATCACAGAGCTTCCTCAGAACTGACCAGTTTATGTTGGACTGACTTTAGCATATTTGATGAAACCATGAAAGATTCTTCCTGAAAATTGTTACGGTTGTACAGGTCCCTGAAATTCTTAGGCTCTTTTTTATTTTGATGCTGACGCTTAAATCTTCGATGATCACATGAACTTTTCTGGGCTGAAAGAAACGTTGAGTACGAGATAAAACACCGGGGGGACGCCGCTCGATCGCTTCTCCCTGGAATGTTGTCCTGATGTCACATGAATCAAATTTAAAGGAGGCTGAAGTAAATGTTAAATCACAACAAAGTTTGATGGTAATGAAAGTCGAAGCTTTGTCCTGTGTCCACTGTGACTGGTGCACTTTGACTGGCTTCACTGTGTTTGCTGTGCTGCTCACATGTAAAGTGGAAACCAATAAATCTCCTTTCTGACAGTTTCAGCACATTTCTTCTTGTCTTAGCTGCTCCTGTCTGTATGTTTCAGCCTGTATTTCTGTAAGAACTATAACAGTGTGGACAGCAGGACCCTATGATTGTCTGTTATTAACAGTATTGAGTCTGAACTCTGGGAAGAACATTGTTATTCAATATTTAACCCCAGTGCGTGCATGATGATAGAAATGGACAATGAACAGGACGCTGGACGCTCCTTAGAGGCACAGGCTGAGACTCGATGTCTCAGACAAATCTGTGCTATGGCAACAAAGATCGGCATCATTCACTTTCAAATCAGCACATTTTTGGAACATTTCCTCCGATTTCAATGTCTGAAAAGGGACTAAAAGTGGGTGGAGGGACCATTTTAAAAACATATATAAAAGTATTTAAAGCAGAAATTTCACATTGTTATGAATATGAACATTTTCTACCGTATAATTTTCCTACCATGTTGGAGCAGGAGGGTGGGTGACCCACCATCCTGTATTTGGACCTACTACATCAGAGCATCTGCGTTAAAATAGTGATGTGGCTCTATAATGAGTGACTTTGAGTTTAGTGAAAGAAATGTTCATTGTAATTGTAATTATGAACTATGTGCAGATATTCTTGATGCCATTACAACTGCTGAGCAGTACAAGCAATGTTTAAATCGCCACGCCTCACTGGAAGTGTTTTATTTGGGTTTTCTTTTAAGTGCTTCACATGTTAACTGTGTTTCATACATGACTTCTGCTCTTTGTTTCTTAGAGTTCTCGTTTCTACACTGAAGCCTGCATCAGCATTAAAGGATTTCTTCAGCCTGCTCGAGCTGCAGGTCCTTGCTTGGCAATAATAATCTTATGGTCGCTGATAACGCCCGATCGCTGTGTGTGCAGTTTCTTTCTCACAGGTCATCACTGGAGTGGACGGGTGTTTATGTGTGTCATAGATTTCAGTTCTAAACCACAGACTTCATAATGAAGCAGCTTCTCTGGTTGAATCCTGTCATCCTCCTGAGGTATCAGACTTCTCCAGAGAGCCGCTGTCTTACAGCCTCCGACTACCTACGTGGTCTCCGTTGGGGGGGCAGAAGAGGCCCCAGCCCTCCATGCACTAACAATCTGCAACAGCTGATCCCGGGAAACACAGACGTTCCCAGCATAGAGACAGAATCTGTCCACTGTGATCTTAGTGTGTGCAGTACTGCAGATTGTGGGATAGATGTGATGCCAAGTAAATGTATGGCCAGTATTGCTGATACTTTTAATCTATAAAAGCAGCTTATGTAGGGGAGAGCAGTGTATCATAACTTATGACGTGAATCATAAGTTTGCAACTTCTGCAGACGTTTTTAATGAATCGCTGTGATTCTGCAACACTGAGTTAATAAAAACACACCTGTGAGCTTTTCATTTGAAACTTTTTGTAGACCTGGAAGGTCCGTGTGCCTTTCTGCAGAGCACAGTGTATGAAATGTGCCTGAGACCTGATAGTATTTCCTTAACTCTTCACCAAAGCCTGCTGTGTCTGACAGTGAAAGAATGATGTCGATGCTCCAAATAGATTTAGACTTACAAACCGTTGTTTGAGGGCAAGTCAAGGCAGTTCACCTCTACTCAGTTATGGTGCATTATAAGCCATATATCTTTAATAATTCATATTTTAATTATGAACTATCAACACTTGAAGATGCCCCCATCTCCTCTGAACAGAACGGTCTAAGAATGAGCGCTCCAGCCCTACGGTTAGGAAATTATGGCCATTGGTTCGAGGGGAATCCATAAAACCAGGAAGATTCAAATTGAATATTCAGAGTGGTTGGCTGACATCCTGTGTGTCTCTGTGCATTTGTGTTTCCATATGTGCTCATATTTCTAATTGTGTGTATCTGCTGGCTGTTCTTTCGTGCGTTTTTAACATTTCTGCCAGTTTTTCACAGTTGAACAACAAGTAGTTTTCAGCTGCTCATTTTCCAATATTTCTGCTTAAGTTGTTACTTTTCTGCTGAATTGTCGTGTTTCTGCTCTGTTTTAGTTATTATGTTTCTCTTAAGTCACCATATTTTTCAATATTCAAAATGAGCAGATCCAGTTTCACTGGCATGGATACACACAGGCCACACGCTTAATAGTCCCTGTTCACTCTATGCTCTGTGTGTGTGTGTGTCTGTGTGTGCGTGTCCTAAATTAAAGGTAAAAACACACACTCTGACACACCGATGCAAATATAAGTCATCTTTATTTATATAGCACATTTGAAAGACATCAAGTGTCGGCCAACAGACGGATGATATGGTGAAAAGAACTAAAATAGATAAGATGAAAACATCATAGAAACAGTGAGACATCCGTATATGTGTACATGCAAATATGCACATATACAAAAATGTACACATTCACACACAAACACACATATGTGAACTTAAACTACACGTGCACGTGTCTACACATGCAAACATCATCCAATGAGATAAAAGACCAGAATAGCTGAAACACAATAACAGAGGTGTCACAGAGATCCTTGGAAAATAGGAGGGGCTTCAGATTGGATTTGAAGACTTCCAAGGATGGAGAGGATTTTATGAAAGGGGGACGACTGTTTCGGGGCAGCAATGGAGAAAGCTGTCACCTCTAGTTTTGAACTGGGAGCGTGGAAGTAATGACAGCATGTGACTGGAGGAGCGCAGAGTTCGAGTGGGGCGGTGCGGGCTGAGAAGATCTGAAATGTAACCTGGAGCCATAATAATAAACGCATGCGTCTTCAGCATTACTGGGTTTCTGCAGCTCCTGGTTTCCTGTTTAATACATTCACACAAGCAATCAAACGCTATGAATCGTTCCACAATGTTCGCAGTCACTTTGTAAAAGTTGTACAAAGCCAGTCACGGATCAGCACTATAACATTTTGACTATAAATTGTATTTGAATCAAACTGTTGCCTGTAGCTTAAATACGTCTCTGTACCTGAATAGAACTAAAGATTTTTCTCGTAGGGTTAATGACACGTCTACCAACTATTTCACATTGCTGCTGAGAGTTACTCCAAAAACTTCCTTTAGTGGCTCTTCATCAGAATATTTACTTAGTTGTTGACATGAAAATCAGTCATTGTGTATTTTGAACACCTAAACTTCAGTGCGATGCCATTATCCTGCCAAACAACATCAAAGTCTCTAAAAAGGTAAGTATGGAGCAGCATCCTTTTTATGGAAGAGGAAGGAAAAGTCATGTTTATTATTATTCTCATATTACAGAGGCGGTGCTGACTGAACAGGCTCAGGCTGAAGCAGTGCAGATCCTGGCCTATTTTCAAGTACCATTAAAGTTCTCACGTGTATAAATCTCTCCATTAGATGTCAGTAGACGGCAGATTGCAGTCAGTGCAGTCACTTTTCTTATCCCTCCTGACTCAAGAGCATAAAGCGATCTACGTTAGCTCGGGGAATTCTGACGGTCGTTCAGTAAATCTTTGTTTAATCTCTTTATTTGCTTTTTGGAGAAGTGAAGGTACAAAAACCTCGTCAATCAAATTTGCTTCGGTGGACAGAAAACAGCCGTTGTAGACTGTCTGGGGTTACCTTTTATAAGTATTGAATTTTCAAAAGTGAAGTCAGTTCTTCTGACCAGGTTCAGACCAGGATGAACACAAGT